TCTATGGGATTAAGATATGGAGACTGGCTAGGTCACTCCAGGACCTTAATGTGCTTCTTCTTGAGCCACTCCTTTGTTGCATTGGCTATGTGCTTTGGGTCATTGTCATGCTAGAATTTTCAATGCCCTGGATGAGGGCAGAAGGTTCTCACCCAAGATTTGATGGTACATGGCCCTGTCCATCGTCCCTTTGCTGCAGTGCAGTTGTCCTTTTCCCTTAGCAGAAAAACACCACCAAAGCATAATGTTTTCACCTCCATGCTTGATGGTGGGGATAGTGTTCTTGGGGGTCATAGGCAGCATTCCTTCTCCTCCAAACATGGCGAGTTGAGTTGATGCAAAAGAGCTTGATTTTTGGTCTCATCTGACCACAACACTTTCACCCAGTTCTCCTCGGAATCATTCAGATGTTCATTGGCAAACTTCAGACGAACCTGTACATTTCCTTTTCGAGCAGGGCGACCTTGCAGGCACTGCAGGATTTCAGTCCTTCACGGCGTAGTGTGTTACCAATTGTTTTCATGGTGACTATGGTCCCAGCTGCCTTGAGATCGTTAACAATATCCTCCTGTGTAGTACTGGGTTGATTCCTCACCGTTCTCATGATCATTGAAACTCCACAAGGTGAGATCTTGCATGGAGCACCAGACCGAGGGACTGACCATTATTTTGCATTTCTTCAATTTGCGAATAATCGCACCAACTGTTGTCACCTTCTCATCAAGCTGCTTGGCGATGGTCTTGTAGCCCATTCCAGCCGTGTGTAGGTCTGCAATCTTGTCCCTGACATCCTTGGACAGTTTTTTGGTCTTGGCCATGGTGGAGAGTTTGGAATCTGATTGCTTCTGTGGACAGTTGTCTTTTATACAAGTAGCGAGCTGAGATTAGGAGTGCTTCCTTTAAGAGAGTGCTCCTAATCTCAGCTTGATACCTGGGAGCCAGAAATCTTGCTGATTGATAGGGGATCAAATACTTATTTCACGCATTGACATGCAAATTAATTCAGAACTTTTTTCAAATGCTTTTATTTCTGGATTTATTTTTTGTCACTCTGTCTTTCACTGTTAAAATACACCTACCATTCAAATTATAGACTGATCATTTCTTTGTCAGTGGACAAACGTTCAAAACCAGCAGGGAATCAAATACTTTTTCCCCTCACTGTATGTGTAACTGTGGCTGCACGTGTGTGTAGATCTGTGTAGCTGTCCAGGTTATACATATGAAGAAAAATGTTTCATATGTTAACCATTGTGTTCCTAAAATGTGCAATTACTGTGGAGGGCATATATCGTAACTTGATGTAATGTAAATTCTAGTGTACTTTATTAACATTCATTGAGAAAATGCATGTTTTGTGTGTCTCCAGGAAAAAGTAAATCTAATCTAGGATGGACTCCTCTCCACCTTGCATGTTATTTTGGACATGTTCCAGTGGTGGAACATTTATTAAAGGTGAATGTTATTGTTTATTTTTACACCATATATTATTTAATACAGAAAGCTAATAAATCAAACAATTTATAATCGGTATGGTAACTAGGTTATCTGGCACCATGAACTGTAGTTTGTTTTGTGTGGGTTTTTTTTTGTCTTTGCAATCCCGCTTACACCCTTTTCGGGGCATCGCAGAGAGGAAATTACAAACCCACACAAACATCCATATAGACGCATGTTTACATTCATATACACATTCCCAAATTCATACACACACATGCATATTCATATGCACACACACGCACATATTCCCACACTCTCATTCATACACAAACATACATGCACACTTTATTTTTATACTGATCATTATCTGTGGTGCACAGTCATTTGCTGCTGGGATCAGTCTGATTCTCTGCAGCACTGTACTGTTGCTTAGGTGATAAATGTGTTTAGAAAACAGTCTTTATAAATAAGATACTTTGTTCTTCTCATAATTCAATTTTTGTTGCATATTGTCATTAGTAAGTCGGCTAAAATTTCTGAAAACAGCTCCCCCACACCACACTTTCCCCCAAGCTACACCACCAGGAGTACAAGGTGGTGGGGCAGCTGTACAGGCAGAGCACAGGTTAATCCCAGCAGTTCCCCTGCTGCCCACAAGGTCTTAATCTTCAGAGAAGGCACTTGCTGTGGGGCAACCACAGCTGATAGGCAGGTGCCTACTCTGGCAAGTTTGGGTACTCTGTTCACCTGCTTCCCGCCGATCACACGGGATGGACCGCCCCTGCCCTCAGCCTTGTATTCTGATTTTAAGATTATTGTAAATGCAAACCTTGTTGTATCGTTCCTAGAAATGTGTAGAAAGAAAGCATTTAAATGGACATGCTAAGCAATGTTACCCTGTGCCCTCTTTGGCTAGGTTAATTTGCTCTGACCAATCTTCTGACATTGTAGATACTAAATGTGCTGGATGTTAGGTCTTTATAAAGCCATAATAATTGACTTTCTTCCAGTCAGCATTCATTGCAAGCCCTCCCTTATATCGCTCTTCTCTTAGCATTAAAGAAATGTATATCATTTCAAGGTGAATGAAGTTCCACTAGAGTTAAAGCTGGTAGATGGTAAGGTTCTCCCATTTGTCTGTTCACCTAAACTTTTAATATGTTTAATTGATAAAGTGACATGCATTAGCTTTTTGACCAAGAATACAATTTCTTTTGAGACTGTCTTGATATATTCTAAGTAAATAAATAAAAATACTTGCTGTAAATTAGGTACATAGTAGAAACATAGACCATGTCTTGCCATTGACAAAAAATACTTTACAGTTCACATTTAACGGGAAGTGCTACTGAACTAAATTATTGTGGAGTTGTCTCTAGGGGGAGTTTAGCAAAACTGATCCGCAACACTGCTCTCGCTCATCCCTTTACTATCATTAAAAACTTGACATTGAAAAATAGCTTTTCCAGAATCTTTTTATTTTTTTATTTTTTAACAATCAAACTCTACATCCAACACAAAAAAGGCCAGGAACTGTAATTAAAAAAAAATAAACAAAAAAAAAAAAATTTTTTTTTTATTTATTGATTTTATTATTTTTGCTATTATAGCTGTATTGTAGTATGTCAAATGATGCTTCCTAACCTGACTTTTCTTGCCAATGCCCCTTTGTGAAACTAAATGTGAAGAAAAAAAATATATAAATTAACAAACTCTTAAAGGGGCGCTCTTAGAAACATTACCTAGCGTCCACAGCACCAAGGTGCCTGGGGTTCTTGGCAGCATAATAACTGAAAGGAGTACTTTGGCTATTTAGCACCCTGAGCAAGAATGTGTATTGACATACCCGGGAATTGAAAAACATGTTTCTTTCTTCCTCCACACCCCTTTGTGTTTGTCTGTACTACTTCATTCCCTTGTGTTGCTCTTAAACCCCTCATTGCCCCTTGTTTGTCTTTGAACCCCCTTTAGCCTTTGTGTATCTGTCCACTGAAATGGACCTGCCCTTAGCATGCTACTGTAACCACTACAGCAGTGGTTCTCAAACTAGTCCTCAAGACCCACCAACAGTCCAGGTTTTGTTAGTATCTCCATTGGAATAAAACAGGGAAATACATAAAACCTGGACTGTTGGTGGGCCATGAGGACTGGTTTGAGAACCACTCCACTACAGGGAGCTATAGTGGTGGTGTTGCTTAGACTGTCCCTTTAATGGGTGAACTATGCATAGTATCTCACACAGGAGATATGCTTTTATAAATTATGATTTATTTATTTTTCCCACTACTTTTCTTATATAAATATACTTCTCCCCAACTCTTGTCAAACTTCCCAACTTTTATTAGAGAAAAAGCAAATGTAAACTCAGTTAATGTAAGGAGGAAAAAATATATATTTGCGCATGCAGTGTTTTTGTTGGGTTTTGATAAAATTTATTTAAAAAAAAACTGATAGTATAAGAAATCTAGGATTTTTTTTCTTTTATATTCACTTTTAATTATAGAAGAAAATATTTGGGAAGGATGGGAGAAAAGCAGAATGGTAAAGTTCATCATTCACAGTATCAAAATGTCATCTTTGAGCCATGTTATACTTTATATTCTTGTATAGTGTAAATTCTAAATATTGATTCTACAAAAAAAAAAAACAATGACCATCTTTGGTCATGCGTTAGAAAGGGTAACTCTAAAAATGGACTATAGCACTCTAAATCGGTATCTGTGGAACTGTATGATGTCATCGGCCCAGCTTCTAAATAGTTTAGAATGTCTATCATGAATTCGAAATCTTTATTTTCAGATTGTATATGTTGAAGAAAATTTGGTTAAATCAAATGTAGAAAATAATATTTAAATGAGTAACTAGCATTCCAATAAAAATTGCTACTCCTGACCAGTTTTATGGCAGTTTTTCTAGGACTTTTTGACTTTTCACATTTTCTCTTGAACAGGCAGGAGCTGACATCAATATTCAGAATGATATGGGGGACACTGCTTTACACAAGGCTGCCTTTACTGGACGTAAGGTGAAA